CATATCAGTGACTACATTTGGGGAGTTTTGTTGGTCACCTCGAGATTGGAAAGCATAAAAGTGGTTTTGTTTTAGAGCATTGGTGTTTGAACTGCTAGGAGGGGCTTGCTTGCCCTTTCACCCCTTAACCTTGAGCATCGGGAAATCTCTCACCTTGTGGCCACTCTTTCCACAACCATAGAAACCATTTGTGTCGGCTAGGCACTTTCCATCTTGTTTCATTCCACACTTCACACAAGTAGATTTAGCAAAAAAAGAACCACCTCCATTTCCTCTTTGAGGTTTAGGGTTATACACCCTTTCCTTATTAGACTTAGGAGGAGCATTATAGGAATTTTGACTGGAAAAACTTTGTCGAAATCTAGGCAGACCTTATCCATCGGACTTTGCATTAGAGAAGTTTCCATCACGGGTCCTTGCCCTTTTTACCTCCCCAGACTTTTTCTTGAGTTTCTAGTTCTCAATTTATTGTGCATGGACCAAAACACGAGAGATGTCCATGTCACCAATGAGCATGGTGGTACGGTACTCTTTAACCACCATATCGGATATATCCGTCACAAACTTACTCATCTTAGCTCTAGAATCTGCAACCATTGTTGGAGCATACCTAGACAATTGGGTGAACTTTAGGGCATACTCATTCACACTCATAATTCCTTGACGAAGGTTAATGAACTTTTGCACCTTTGATTCCCTCAACTCAAGGGGAAAGAACCAATCAAGAAATGCCTATTTAAACATTTCCCACTCTACGGGACCTTTTCCAACCGGCCTTACCTTTTTCCACTGATCATACCATATTTGAGCAACCTCCTTCAATTGGTAAGCAGCCAATTTCTCTTTCTCTACCAGAGTCATCCCCATAATAGCAAGTACCTTATAAAACTCATTGACAAACTCTTGAGGGTCTTCCTCAACTTTGGAGCCATAAGATTCCGGAGGGTTCATCCTCATAAAATCCCTCACTCTCAAAGCCATCGTACCCACATTTGGGTTCTCGGGAGCTACTACCTATCGATTGGCTTGTGCCATCATAGCTTGGGCCAACATTTGAAAAGCCTACCTAACCTCCGTAGTAGTCATATTCTCAGCCAAAGTATTTACCAGATCTTGGGGAGGAGCTTCTTGTTCCACATTGTCACCTTACATCATTCAAGCATTCCTTTTGGTATTCATATCCTGAAGACATAGGACAAAGATTATGAGAGAGATCTTTTAGAGGTAAACTCTATGACACAAATTAAGAGTAACGAAGAGGTGAAATTTCATAAACATCTTATTGCCTCTTATTCATAAATGTGGTGCGCTTCATACTCATGAACAAGAATCTACTAGACGTGGCTTATGAGACATCATTCAAAGATCAATCTAAACCTTGTGCTCTGATTACCAAGTTTGTCACAACCCAAGGGTACCCCCTAGTTATAACATGGTGTATAGAACCCCGAAGGACTCCATACAATCCACTTGTCCTCATAACATAAGAAATAAAAAAAATTAAGAGTAAAACAAATTTCAAGTCTAAAATGTTTTTCATAAAAGAAAGCGAAAGTCTAGAAACTTGTCTCATCATAGCCATCTATTACAATCTTGAATGAAATTGGGCCTACCCCATACATCATGTCCAAAAATGAAATACAAGAAGTGGAAACTACAATAAGGAGAAGTTCGTCCTCGAACCATGAGGACTCACCGAGCTCGGAAAGTAATCAAAGTCAAAGCTCTAGCCAGTAGAATGGAACCCTGTTTGTTGGACCCTATTTGAGGGAAATGTAGGCAAGAGTATGCGTTAGTACAAAAATGCACTAAGTATGATAACTATGCATAAAAACATTTAAAACATGCAAAAAAGGGCATTTCATTTCAAAACGTGCAAATGCCAAGTTTAAACATCATTCAAAAGATTAGAAATCATAAGTCTTAAACATGGACAACATAAGTCAACATCATCTTTAAACCTTTACTCTCATGTAAAATACTTCTTGAAGTAACCTTAGTTAATTATTCATGTTCTTGTTGTGGGAGATAAGCCTTGACCGAGATGAGACCATGTGAGCTATAACATGATCACCCGGTGTTACCCACACCGAAAAGGGTTGTCCTACTTGCCTAAGGTAGAACATGAACTCTTAGCTTAGGTGGATCCACTAGCTAGATAACCTATGGGGGCACATAGTTTATGGGATATAGAGATTTCTACTAGAAACCCAGATTCAACTAACGTAAAAGGTTTCCATCTCATGAGACATACATGGGAAGCCCAGAATCAACTGACATAAAAGACTTTCATCTCATTTCAATGTCCACTCAGTGTTAACCATAAATCCCACGGAATACTTATTAAGTCTTACTTAACTCATGTCTCATATAAGGATGTCCTTGACAACCAATCCATGTTAGTTCATTAGGATAGCTCATTAGATCATGCGTGAGAAAACTTTTCACCATCCATGTTTGCATGTAAGTTTTAGATTCAATTAGGTGAGAAAGTCTTTCAACCTTAGGACCTTCATTATGTGAGAAAACCCTTGACATCATGTTCATGATGTATTCATGAGAATGTCCTTTCAATCAATCACAACAACATTATCATAATCATTGACACTTCACTCGCAATGTTTCCTTAAAGCATTTACTTAGAAATCATAGAAAAACATGCATAATCTCATACTTTACCTTTTCAAGGTTCATAACCTACTCTCAATCATCACATCTAGAATTCAAGCATTAGACATATATTTCATTATAATTCATGTGATACTATCACTTGATGCATCAATTCATAAAATTCTTCTTTCATCAACAAAGACCCACATTATAAGATCACAATTGAGAAATATGGGGATTTCATTTGTTCTTGGGGATACATCATAAAAACCTTAGGAAATCATCAATTCATGCTTATAATAACATAATTCAACTATTAGAATCAAGTTTGAAAGGAACCTATGACTTTTGAATCACACCCTAACAATGGGGGATTTCTATCTTTCTTTTGAAATTAGATTTTGAAGGAACCCCATGGATGCAAGGTATCCATGGATGAAAGTTATCCTACCTTAACAACAAATCCCAATGCTAAGCTTCAATGGAGAATTTGGACCCTTAGATTGAAAACCTAGGTGAAATCTTCTTCTTCTTCTTCAAGTTCTAAAGAGAAAATATTTGAGAGGAGTTGGTTTTCTTTTGGGATTTAGGTAGAATGAATTAAATGAGGTGAATTTGAGGTAAAAAGGCTTATATAGGGGTTCTAAATGTAGGCAAAATGACATGGTATAGGAATTTATTAATCAAGAAAAGACCCAACTAAGCCTAAGAATAACTGCCAATAGATGACCCACGACCCACCACCGACGAACTGTGGGTGGGCCTACGGTCCATCCTCCACGTCTGTGGTTGGTGCTTAGAGAGTTTTGGCCAAACCACGGGAACTTGGACCATGGAACGTGGACCCACCTAAGGCCCGTAGGTCCAGCCGTGGTTCCTACCCTGGAACTTTTGGGGAAACCCATCCACGGACCCCAGTCGACGGACCATGGTCTGACCCACGGCCCATCCTGGTGGACCGTTAATCTGGGTCAGAAAGACACATTTTGGAGGTTCCAACCACGGACCACACCTAGGGTCCATGGGTCCTTCTACAGACCGTCTGTGGTCCTCGCGGATAGCACCTGTAGGTTCTGAATTTTTGGTTCATTACCATTATTCGGATACGGGGTGTTACACTAGTTTAATTTTGGCAATTTAATTTATCAGTTATCCAATTAAGATGAGAAAGTCTTTTAAAGTAAATCACATAAATAGACTAGAGTTTTTAATCAACTATTGCAAAAGATTTCCTTTTATAGGTATTGTAATAGTGATATTTTAACATCAATTGAGAAAGTTATTTAAAATTTATCATTTTTTACTTTTGGCATAAATGCCTTATTTCAATATTTTGTAGTTTTCATGTGTTTTAATTTTGAGCATAATACACGACTATTCTATTTGGTATGATATTTCTAAGGTGATTGATCTTCCACATAAATTGTATGTGATATATTTTTTTAGCCACTTCTTCACAATTATAGTGTACTAGATTTTTCTTTTTCAATTTATTTACTCACCTTATTTCATTTTGGTGATTAAAATTCACACATTGTAGATTTTTTTTTCATAGGAAAAGCATATATTATTTAGTAATATTAAATTTGTGTGCTAGTTCAATAAGTGTCTATAATTTCTTGACAATGTGAAAATGAATTTAAATAGTTCTCAAAAAGTTAATTAAATTTATATTTGAATAGTCATATTCATTAGCTAATACAAAAGTGTACAGTTTCTAAACTTTGATCAATTAATTCAAAAAATTCTCACATAATTGATGGAATCATTTTAAGTAATCAATTTAACTCTTCTATGTCACGGTAGTGTATGCTAAATGCACATCAGTTGAAAAAAGACGTCTCTGGAGTAGCCTGGAAGAGGTTTACCATTTGACTAATGGGCCATGGTGTATAGGGGGTGACTTTAATGCCATATTAAGCCCTGATGAAAACATGGGGGGCAGTCCCCTTAGGATGAATGAAATTCTAGAATTCAACAACTGCATGAATAACTGTGAAGTCAATGACATCGGTTTTGTGGGACCTAACTTCACCTGGTGTAATAACAGAAGTCCCAGAAAAATAATCTGGAAAAGACTCGATAGAGTGTTTGTTAATAACCAATGGACTCAATTCTTCAACACTAACGTTGTTAGAGATCTGGTGAGGACTGGATCGAACCATAGAACTTTGCTCATCAACTGTCAGAAGGATCAACAGGAAGGTATTAAATACTTTAAATTTTTAGATTTTTGGATTGATCAACCATCTTTTATGTAGGTAGTGGAGGAATCTTGGAATTCTCATGTTCAAGGAAACTCTATGTGGATTCTACAACAAAAGTTGAAGACTCTCAGCAAGAAACTGACTCATTAGTCCAAGGAAGTAATTGGAAATGTTTTTGATCAGGTTATCTGGTGGGAAACGAAAATCCAAGCCCTCGAAGATCTGGAAATTCTCCACAATAATGTTCAATGCATGGAAGATCTTAATAGAGGTCAAGCAGAATATGTAAAATGGATGGGTATACAGGAAAACCTTCTCAAACAAAAGGCTAAGGCCAAATGTTTCGAAGAAGGGGATTTCAACACCAAATACTTCCACAGTTTGATTAGAGAAAGGAAAAGAAGACTGCAATTGCACAGAATTAAGGATCATATAGATAATTGGGTCCAAGGTGATGAAGAGATTAACAAGGCTGCTATACACCACTACAACATGATTTTCAACCTCCAACATCAATTTACTGATAATAGCATTCTGGACAACATACAAAGGGTCATTACTGAGGAGGAGAACTCTTTACTAACCATTATGCCTGGTCTTGAGGAAATTAAAAATGTTGTGTTTAGCATGAGTTCGGATAGTTCCTCTGGTCCAGATGGTTACAGTGGCGTATTTTATCATAAGTGCTGGGAGGTGATCAAATATGACATTCAAAATTTTGTCCAGGACTTCTTCATAGGCAAAAACCTTACTAAGTTTTTCTCACATACCTGCCTTGTTCTTATTATCACTAAAATTCATTCTAAAAGGCTTAATCCCCTTCTAGACAAGATCATCTCGGATAACCAAAGTGTTTTTGTTAAAGGTAGGATGATCACTGAGAATGTGCTACTAGCCCAAGAGTTATCTCGAGAGATTAAACAAGACAATATAGGGGGTAACATGATCACCAAGTGGGACATGGCCAAAGCCTACGACAAGATGTCATGGAAGTTCCTAATGGCGGTTATGAGAAAGTTCAGCTTCTCTGAGGAATGGTTAGACATCATTTGGAGACTTTTGTCAAACGTGTGGTACTCTATTATCATTAATGGTGCCAAGATAGGCTTTTTCTCTTCTAGTCAGGGTCTTAAATAGGGAGATCATCTCTCTCCTTCTTTGTTTATTATAGGTGCTGAGGTGTTGTCTAGACTCCTTAAGAACCTTAAAAATAATGAAAACTTTACTCCTTTTAGTATGAATACTTCCAGTTTTATCATTAACCATTTAGCATATGTTGATGACATCATTATCTTTTCAGGTTGGAATTCCAAATCAATCAAGCTTGTTTTGAAACAAGTGAAGACATATGAAAAAGCATATGGCCAGAAAGTGAACCAAGAAAAAAGCTTTTTCATCACAGCTCCTAATACTTCTGCAAGTAGAATCAATAGGATGAGATCTGCCTCTGGGTTTATGGACAAGAACTTTCCGTTCACCTACTTGGGATGTCCAATCTATCATGGGAGGAAAAAAATATGCTACTTTGAGGGCATGCTAGCAAAGATTGTTAAAAAATTGAATGGGTCGCAGAGTAAAATGCTTTCGTACGGGGGAAAGATGGTTTTGATCAAAAGTGTACTACAATCGATGCCTACATATACTCTTTCAGCTATGAATCCTCTAAAAGGAACTCTAACTCTTATTGAAATACACTTTGCAAATTTTCTTTGGGGAAGGAAAGAAGGCAAAGACAAGTATTATTGGTCTTCCTGGGAGAATTTGTGCATTCATAAGGAAGAAGGGGGGATAGGGGTGAGGAAATTGGAAGATATTGCAAACTCTTTCACCTTGAAGTGGTGGTGGAGGTTCAGAACTCACCCTTCTCTCTAAGCCTCTTTTTTTAGAGCGAAGTACTGTAAAAGATCCCATCCCGTCTCTAAAGCCATTGCTTCCTGTGACTCTCATGCCTGGAAAAATATGTTAAAGATCAGAGACCAGGCTGAGCCAAATATCATTAGGATTATTCAATCAGGGAGTTCTAGTTTTTGGTGGGATAATTGGACAGGCAAAGGTGCTCTAGCCAAGTTATCTCCTGGACGTGGAAAAAGTTCTAAAATCTTTGTGAAACAATTCATTGTTAATGGTGGCTGGAATATTGTGAAGTTGAGGCAAACTCTTCCCGATCAGCTTATAAACGACATAACGGGGATCCACATAGGCAACAATGATGATAATGACTACCCAATGTGGAAATCTACCGACAATGGTCTCTTTACTAACAAGGCTGCCTGGGAACTTTACAGAACCCATAAACCAAAGAACGAATTCATGAACAAGATTTGGCACTCGAAAGTTCCTTTCAAAGTTTCCTTTTTGACTTGGAGAATCATTAAAAAAATTGCCTTTTCAAGATACTTTATATAGGTTTGGAATTAACAGACATTTAACTTGTTTTTGTTGTAGGACCTCACAACTAGAAACAGTACAACATGTATTTGTTGCTAGTGAAGCAGCTTTTTTTCTCTGGAACGCTATTGGAAATCCTCTTGGGATCACTCACAATAATGAGCCTATTATAAGTGTCTTCAAGAAGTGGTGGGACATAATATCCATGAACAAAGTCCACCAATGGATCTTGCACATCACACCCATTTTCATATGCTACGAATTGTGGAAACAAAGATGTGCTTGTCGATATGGAACACAAAGGAAATTTCATAATACTACAATGGTGTTCTAAGGGATATGGTGTATTAGAAACATTGTTTCTAAACTTTTCCCCCCGTTTAATACTATTACATTGTGGACTGATTTTTGTGATATTGCAGAAGGGATCAAACCAATACAAAAATTGACTGAAGTCAAATGGAGCACACCTCAAATAGGCACCATTAAAGTTAACACCGATGGAAGTTTTTTATGGGAGATAGGAAGCGATGGGATTGGAGGAATAGCAACGGAGAGATGGTGATGGCCTTCTCGATTCATGTGGCATGTACCAGTAACAACATGGCAGGAGCATTGGCAGCTGATTTTGGTGGAAAATGGTGTTGCCAACAAGGCTTAACTAATTTCACTCTTGAGCTAGACTCCATGATCATTGTAAATATGGTGAACAACAAGAGCAACAACAATCTCAAACTCAGGCAAATCATCGATAATATCATTGAGATAGTGGATCAATCGAATGCCCAAGTGACTCACTGTTTTAGAGAAAGCAATCAAGTTGCAAACTTTTTAGCGAAAAGGGCTGCTAGACTGAACCAAATGATGATTCTAACATCTTTCAGGCAACTTCCCGAAATGGCTAAAGGTGCATACTTTTTGGATAAGTGTCAAATGCCTTATATTAGAACAAAATTTGATAAGCCTAATTTTTTTGTTAGTTGATTTGTATATATTTGAATCTGCCAGAAGATTTATATCCTCTTATGAGATTATGATCTTCTGGCTCCTGAGGTGACTAGCTCACCGTGGTGTTGTAATGGAGGTAAGGCTTCAGCCCCCTTCCTTTTTTTGTATCTCATAAATACAACACGACCCAGCTATACTGGGTAATTTTATTTTTTTAAAAAATAAAATAAGACGTTAAATTGTGATTAAGGTAATACAATTTTTACACAAGCTATTTATAGTTAATTTTCTCTATAATTCATAAATTCATCTTTCATAGTTCAAAACCCACATCATATCATCATTGTGTAGAATTCATGGGTCATCCATTAGTTCATAGGGGATTCAACTTAGAACATGCAATTTCTTCAATTCATGCATAAGAAGACATAAAACAATCAATTGGATCAACATTGAAAAGAACCCATAACAATCGAATAAAAACCCTAATTTGATTGGGGAATCTAACTTTACAAAATTGGGGATTTTAGGAACCCTATGGAGGAAAGAGCTTCATAGGTGAAGATTATCATACCTTGGAGTTCAAAGCCCAAAAGTTATGGTGGGAATTGAGACTTGAATGGAAACCCTAGCTCTTCTTCTTCTTCCTTAGAGAGAGAAATACTTGAGAGGATGAACTTGATCAACTTTTAGGAATTTAGGAGATCAGTTAATTAAATTGGGTGATTTTTGGGGTAGAATGTTTATATATGGCCTAGGGTGGAAGGTAAAACGACATAGTATTGGGTTAAAATAATTAGGAAAAGACCCAAAAGCCCCTTTTTAAAATAATTGTCGGACCCCGTCGATGGTTGGACCGATGGTCCGTAGGTCCAACTACGAACCATCCTGGTCATCCGTTGGTGGGGTTCAAAAAGTTGATTTCATACCCTCGAATGACAGGACCCATGTACGATCTGATGGTCAACCTGCGGTCATGGCCATCGTAAGTCCCACTTTTGGCCCTCAAAATTTCACAAAGTCTGAGACCTACCTACCACATGTACATTGAACGACAGGTCATTCCAGTGAACCATAAAAAAGTATTGGGACTTGAAAATCTAAATCATTGGGAGCTTGCAAACAATGGTTCCCACCTACGGTCCGTGGTCCGACCTACGGACCGTCGGTGGTTCCGTATGTACTAGCGCAAGACTCTAGAATTCTGCAATTTACCTTCTTTTTAAATATGAGGTCTTACAATATCTCCCCTTTGGGAACATTCGTATGAGATTCAAGACACCATAAGGAGAGAAGGAACTAGATCTAGCAGCCCAACATGAATGCAATCACATAAAAGGACATATCCGAGGAGGAAACATCAACTTCAAGCTAAAGGATGTTCAAAACATCATTTCATAAGATCTATATGCAACTCATACTCAAATGCACACAATATGAAGAAATCAATCAAGTTAACTTATTTTCTCAAAAAATCAAGCTTTTCATGAACATGTATAAAATGAGGAATAATGGGAATATCTAAGACACATGACACCACAAGAGTAAACCATGAGGAACTAAATACCTCAAGCTAGAGTAGGAACGGAGGGAAAGAGATGAGGATAACAGGATATCATATCGGTCTCGGCCTCGTAGGTTGCACCCTCAACTAACTGATTCCTCCAAAGAACCTTTACAGACGCAATTTCTTTATTCCTCAACTTCTGAACATGTCGGTCCAAGATCTCAACTGGAACTTCTTCATAATAAAGGCTATCATTTATGCCAAGACCCTCCAATGGTACTATAGATTTCGGATCACCAACACATTTCTTCAACAAGGAGACAAGCGGAAAACTGGATGCACCGATGCCAAGTCATTAGGCAATTCAAGTTTATAAGCAACCTTACCAATGTGCCCCAAAATCTGATATGGGCCCACATAACATGGACTAAGCTTTCCTTTCTTTCCAAATCTCATTACACCCTTCATGGGTGAAATTTTCAAGTAGACTCAATCATTCACATCAAGCTCAAGATCTCTCTATCTAACATTGGTGTAGGACTTTTACTGACTTTGAGCCATTTTCAACTTTTCTCTAATAAGCCTAACTTTCTCCATAGCCTCATGTACCAATTCGGGAGCTATAAAGCAACTTCATCCACTTCAAACCAACCTATACGCGATCTACACCTCCTACCATATAAAACATCAAATGGAGTCATATCAATGCTTGAGTGATAGATATTATTGTATGCAAATTCAATCAAAGGCAAAGGATCATCCCAATTACCCTTGAAGTCAATTCCACAAGCTCTCAACATATCTTCTAAAGTTTGGATAGTGCACTCCACTTGCCCATAAGTTTGTGGATGAAAGGACATACTAAGCTTAACACGAGTACCAAGCCCCTTTTGGAAAGATTTCCAAAACTGGGAAGTGAATTGGGTACCACGATCAGAGATAATGGACAAGACAACTCCATGCAACATAACCATTTCTCTCAAGTACAACTTAGCATAGTCTTCTGCCGACTAAGAAACCTTGACGGGAATGAAATAAGCAGATTTTATCATACGATCTACTATAACCCAATTCGGTTCATGTTGTCGCCGCGTGCAGGGTAACCCAACAATGAAGTCCATAATCAAATCTTTCCACTTCCAAGTAGGAATGCTAATCTCTTGGGACAAACGTTCCGGCTTCTGATGCTCAACTATCACTTGTTGACAATTAGGACACTTAACCACAAACTTCTCAATATCATTCTTCATTCCATTCCATCAATATACCTCCCGCAAGTCACAGATATCTTGGTGGATCCCGGGTCAATGGAATATCGAGAATTATGGGCTTCTAACAAGATTTTCCCTCTCAAGTCATCTACATTGGGAACACACAAACGACCTTGATACCAGAGTACTCCATTTACCCCTAGGAGAAAGCCTCAACAGATTTCTTAAGCATTGCTTCCTTCAACTCAATCAAGATCGATTCAAGACCTTGTTTTGCTTTCACTTTCGACACAAAAGACGATTATGAACTATTATGGAGCATAACACCACCTTTCCTAGAGTCAACCAACCGAGCACCCATTCAGGCCAATCTATAAACATCTCAAACCAACTCATTCGTATTATCCTCTACATGAGCAACACTACACATTCACAATCGACTAAGAGCATCCACCACCACATTCGCTTTGCCTGGGTAATAGAGAATACTCATGTCATAGACCTTTAGTAACTCCAGCCACCTTCTTTGGTATAGATTTAAATCCTTCTGTTTAAACACATATTACAAACTTTTGTGGTCGTTGAAGACATCGACATGAACACCATACAAGTAACGCCTCCAAATATTTAAAGCAAACACAACTGCCGCTAGTTCTAAATCATGGTTAGGATAGTTCTTTTTGTGCACCTTAAGTTACCTTTGAGGCGTAGGCAATGACTTTCCCATTTTGCATAACGATACATCCTAACCCAATTCCTGAAGCATCACAATAAACAACAAACCCATCGGTTCCTTCCTATAAATTCAACACCGAAGCAGAAGTAAGTCTATCTTTCAACTTATGAAAACTCTTTTCACATGCTTTCGACTATAAGAATTTGACTATCTTTTGATTTAATGTCGTCAATGGAGAGGCAATCGAGGAAAAACCTTCCATAAAGCTTCTATAGTAACCGGTCGAACCCAAGTAACTTATAATATCCGAAAGAGATAGAGGTCTAAGCCAACTGTTGACCACATCTGTCTTTTTAGAATCTACCTCAATACCTTTCCCAAAAACAATGTGACCGAGAAAAGACATGGACCTTAACCAAAACTCACATTTACAAAACTTTGCAAAGAGTTGTTGGTCCTTGAGGAATTGCAACATAATCCTCAAATGATCGGTATGCTCGTCGTCACTCCTTGAATAGATCAATATATCATTAATGAACACAATCACAAACATGTCGATATATTTCCTAAACACCCTATTCATCAAATCCATAAATGCAATCAGAGAATTGGTCAAGCCAAAGGACATCACAAAAAACTCATAATGACCATATCGAGTTTGAAAAGACATTTTCAT